GTGGGGAAAAATGACAATTCAATTAAAATTTGTAAAAACACTATAACAAGGTCTAACCCTTCCTAGCTGTTCTGGCAGGAATTGGGAAGAAATCTTTTCAATACAAACAAAAATGACCATGAAATCCTGCTAAAAGGTGAAACCTTTTGTTGCTCCATCCAAGCTAAAGAAAATAAATAAATATAAAAAAAAATTATCAAAACAAATAAAATATAAAATAATAATTCCTATGAGGATTAAAATATCAATACAAAATCTGTAAAATGTACATAATTTAGGGTACTAAATGTAGTTGGTTAACTGAGTTGATGTTTGGAAATTGAAAAATAATGTAACTACAATAAAGGTGCAAAAATGTCAACTATCAATTGCAGCACTGTTTAAGAATGTGAATCTTTTAAATTCTAAGCTGACCTTTTAAAAAACAAAATAATAATGCAGGTTCAAAAATTAAAAAAAAAAAATCTGCATTTATTAATTTGTTTTAGTCTGCAGCCCTGTAAGGCATTGTACCTGTGATCAGATCACGGGCGCAATGCTAGGATCCTGCAAACTCTCAGTACACTGTCTGCCCATTCCACGTATGGGCAGTTACTGAACTGCAGGAAGACTCAATGAACTACAGGAGCGCTCACCAGTGCCCTCGTACTTCATTGAGAACTACAAGCCATTGGCTGTGGTGGACGATGGTACTTGTAGTTAATTTATTCACAGAATGAATGAATGACACAGTGTTATGGCCAGAGCCCTGCACAGCCACTCTGCTTTTAAATTGTGCCACCGGGTTTGGGGAGAGGATCCCCCACCTCCAGTCACAGGAATTGGGGAGCAGGGGGAGAGGAGGCAAGAGCTGGAACATGTTCCACCCTAAATATGGGTGGAACATGTAACATGTTCCAAAGGTGAACTTACCTTTTAATGATCTATGGGGTAGTTTGGTCCTCACTCAGTATACATTTTCAGATTGCGTGAGGACCACAGTGATTAGAAGGGAGCTTGTAGCCCAAAAACGCACCAGCTTGAAATCCTGATAAAGAGGTACAGGTTTGTGAATTAGTAACATATTTAAAGAACCAAAACCATATCTCAGATGTATTTGTGGTCTGGTTAGGGAAGCAGTGAGTTAAAGGATGGGTATTTTACTCATTAGCAAACAGTTCAGTAATTGGTTGTCTTTTTCTTTTCTGGGACTACAGTATAAAAATGTCTTCATTGAAGATCCTCACTTTAATTATTTTTATCATTTACTTTTTACCTCTCCTTTTGGATTTATTTTGAATGCTATTGTGTCCCTTGGGAAGCCTCCGTCTCTTTCTATGGAATTGTTATTGATGCAAATTTAACATCGTTGTTCTGGCCAAGAAAGATGTTAGCTTCGCAGAAGATAGAGGAAGGAGGACTAGAATCTCCACAGGGAATGTCAGTTCTGTAGTACACAAGAGTTATAAAATATAAGGGTGCCCAAACCCACATGCTATCAAAGATTTGACTTTTGGGTACTTAACAGCTGGGCTAATTTTTTTTTATTTAGCTTCAATCTAAAGCAGCCCATAGATTATGTGATTTTCTTTCCTTCCAACATGGGTCATGGTTGATGGGGGAATCACTCCCACAGCGCTATTGTGTTCTGCTGGCGGGGAGCTTTCTGGGCCGACAGAAAACAATGATTACTGCTTGGAGCTATAGCTGCTGGCAGTAGATGCATGTAAATAATCCAACAGGCTGGTTGTACCCAAGTCAGTCCATGGACTGACTTGGGTACAACCAGTCTGGCCATAGATGGATTGAACCTCGGCTGGTTCAGCATGGACCGACCAAGATTCAATCCATCTATGGCCAGCTTTAGGCATGAAGTGTAAAATCGAATCTGTTTCATCTAGTTAATCCATACATGAGTCCAATGCCAACATTAAGTAGATGGTTTTGATCTAAAAAAAAAAAAAAAAAAAAAAACATACAAGCAAACTAAGTCTGACTGCACCTTTAATGTCATTAAAAAATATTGTCCTGTTTATCTAAATATTTCAAGGTTGGATACAGCTACATAACACATGTGCATTTTCAAAACCAGTTAAGAGAAAAATCTGGTACAAGCACGACCCATGCAGTTTTATTTTTTCCTGGCACTAGTAATGCCATTTTTAGTTAATATAATTATCATGCATTCAAAGTTATTAAAAAGTATCGGGACATTGAAATTGTCAAGAAAATGCCAGTTTAATACACAGTATGTTACCTGGTCAAAAAGATACTGAGAATTCTAAAAAATGAGAGTTCAAGCCCTGTACTTAATATTTCAAGAAAAGGGTATTTCTTCTAAAGCACAATTGAAAAAAGAAAAATACTACAGAGATAGGTTGAATAGAGAGCTGAAAGCTTAAAAGTGACTGTTGTGAATAGCATAACTGTTTCCTAGTGCTAGTCCAAACTCTTCTCCCCCCAAAGCAGGCTGCAGAGGGGACCGTGGTTATTGGTCTGTAAACAGCCACCACTCTACAGTGGTCAGAGGTGAAGCAAATCCCCACCAGCTATGAGTGTGACCTGCTGCCTAACTCACTGATAGCAGCAGTCCTTTTTGCAATCTTCTGAGGTAAAGGAGTTGGAACTGGCGCTGTGGGTGCTTTCTGTTCACTATTCAAACCATTGCATGTTTTTTTTTTTTTAACTTCAATTGGGTTTTAACTGAATAATGAAGAGTGGAGAAGTCTTGCTTGTCTTTCTCCTGTTATGGCACAAGAGGGCTTTCATCTCAGACAAAAGAGACCTTGTTTCTCCCTTTAAAGTCCAAAATTGTGTTATGTAAATAACTATTTAAGAACAAGTAGTTGCAGATGTGTTAAACTTCTGCTTTCATCTCCTTTACATATTTTCCAATGTCTGTACAGCTCTGTACTATGTTATTGCGCCTTAAGCACCATAACATTAAAATGACACTAAAAAATACAACACAGTAATTACAAGTTAATTCAGGAGAAAAGTACTGCTTAGCAACTGCAAATATTGAAATCAGAAGAAACATTTTTTTTTTGGTTTAAATTTAATATCTTAAAGAAACAAAAAACACTAAAATGAAGTTAAACATTGTTTTTTTGCTATGTTCACTTATATTTTTTTACTTTTAGATTATCTTTACACAACTATTCATATGGTTATCAGTTAGAACCAATATGAATAAAATATTGAACAGCACAGTAATATTTTTTGCCAAAATATTTTTTTTTTTTTTACCAAAGCAATTATTGTAATAAATATTTTTTTGTATTTTTTATCTACAACGTTATAAATAATAACATTTTAAAAGTGCTGAATATTAAATTCAGAATATTCAGTAACCTCACTGTAAACATAAGCTATTCTTCTACTTTTAATTTATTGTTTATTTAAATGTAATATTACCTAAAATACCAACATAAGTAAAATATTTGCATAGGGAGCATATAATAGCCCTTTTAATCCATTTATCCTGATTTCTATGCAAGATACATATGTAAAATATTTTATGATACATGTTGTCATGTATGTAAAACATGCAAACAGAAAATCCAATGCTTCAAGTAAAAATTACTAAGCCCGTGAAAAATAAAATAAGAAATTAAACTAATAAATAAAAGTAAAATAGAGGTAGTAATAAGTAAATAACTCTTGTCTGTTAACCAAATAAGGCCAGGTATGCCACTTAAAAGACATGCAATTAATACCTAAAGCAAGTATTTTGGTATCACCATGGTGATATTAAATTTTGCAACATATGAAAGAGTTTTACCATACTTTGCTTTACATGGAGCCGAAACTCTGTCAAAAAAGTTTATATATATAAATATATATATAAAAATATATATATATATATCTATATATATATCTTTTGACAGCACTAGAAAATATGCTGGTTTTTTTGCCTTCCATCTAAACAATAACGGTTTGGTTTTAATGCTGGTTTTTACAGTTCCTCACAAGGAGATATACAACTAACTAGCTATACTGAATTTATGTATCTATTGAAAAAAAAAAACAAAACTATTGTTCATCAAGCTTAAACCATGCATTCAAAGCTTTTTCACTCAGTAATATGAAAGACGGATGTTTCATTAAAAGGTTTCCAAATGCTACATATAAGTAAACTTTTTTTTAATTATATTTTATTTTTAAAATATTAAACTATTTCTGTTATTTACTTTTTTGCTGTAATACATTATGGTAAACAACACTATTAAAACTGGATGACCAGTTTTATTTAAATCAATGTATGTATATGACATCTGAAATGTACATAAAAATGCTACTTTCTCATAACAACAATAAACAATGTCAGCTCAAGAGTTTTGGTCATCCAGACATATATCCTTTTTTTTAAATGGTTTGTGCTTCTTTGACATTGCAAACTCTATAACAAAAATAAAAGCCGCAGTTTGGCAGTGAACATCTGAGAGTTACAGCTTCTATCTCCTTCACTTCCATCAAAGCTTATCTTTTTTATGTATTGGCTTTGCATAATCTTACTTCTAACACCAAAAAGCCATTTAAAGTTTACAGTAGTCTTGTCAATACACATTCTCAACCAAGAAATGCAAACCATAGTTTGCTTCCATCTTTTTTCCAAAGTAACACTGTGTTCCACATAAAGTAGTGCTAAGTACATATTTGACGTATATTGCAACACGTGATTAGTGAGTAAAAGAGAAACTCATTTTTGCACATGCAGTATGAGATAACATAGTTTCTTTGTAGTCCGTCAAATAGATCATTGTTTTGTACACTCAAGTGAACTGTGTATAAGACAAACGTGGCAATTCCAGTGTTGTACATTTCTCAAACTCAAGCATGAAAGACCTTGGGAAATGGAAACAGAAAGCAGTATCTTTTTTTTTAAATGTATTCTTCACAGTAGCCTGAGTAGTGCACGACCAGAGTTCTCCAGGAACTCCGCATCTGATGGTATTAAACTACGTTTTTTTTTGTTCTGTTTATAAAAGAAAAACATATTGTTTCTTTAAATGGTTCAGCTAAGAGTCAGTAGTGGAGCTTTCTGTACTCTCAAGAAAAGTCTTATATACTTGTGAGTTCAAAAACCTTGGAAACGAGTCTCTGTGCATCAGTGTGTAAATCTGAAGTTGAGCATCTTCATACATGTGTGGGTTTGGATCCAGTAAATTCCTGTTGATTACTTCCCGAACTCTGGAATCGAGACTGACCTGTAAACACAGACCATTTCAGTAAACCAAATAAAATGCAGGCCAGCATAGGTTGCGTGTATGTGTAACATTTTGATTTTTAAATTTACAGCTGGCCACAAATTGACCTAGGGCATTAATATTCACACTAAAATTTTAAAAAAAATTGTGCAGCCTTGATACAGGTTATGGACCTAAGAAAGGACCACACCAAGAATGAATTGTCTAGGTCTAAATTTATTCCAATAAGAATTAGGATAAACAAGGCAGTCAATATGTTTTGTGGGCCTCAAAATAACCCCCTTCAAAAGGGCTATATAAACACACAAAAAAAATAATAATAATAATAATATATATATATATATATATATATATATATATATATATATATATATATAGATAGATAGATAGATAAAATATATAAAATAAATACAAATTTATAAACAACATGTACAGTATATAGACATAAAAATGGCAGTAGAGAGCTCAACAAAAGAAACAATGGTAATGCAAATAAACATTCAAATATTGAGATTACCAGGGGTTTGGCTCTGTGCAAGTGGGTATCAACTTTATCCCTTTACTTTTTCTATTCCTTCTTTCCTTTTTCTTTCCTTTTTACTTTTTTCTACTATCTTCTTAGATTGGAAACCTTTATCAGATGTTCTCTTCTCCCAAAAGGGGGGTCTTTCTTGTTATCTCTTGAGTTGTACTGAGAATTTATGAGGGGAAATCAGGGATGTGGTTGCTATGTGTTGGATGTTTGATACTAAGCTAACAATTCCCCATAGTATTGATGGTTCTTACCGGTATGCTTTTATTTGAAACCTTCTACCTGTTCTTGTGTAAGAGGTATTTTGCGACTGGTAGTCCTTTGTCAGTTACCCCCTTCTTGCTCTTGTATGGAGACTTTCAAGCTTTAATCCCATGTAGCGGGGCCATTGCTGTTTCCCTTTTAAAGAACTATTTCCCTTTTAAGACTGCATGTTGTCGGAAAGGGTTTGATTGGCTCAGTTCTCAGCAGTACTGGAATGTTTGTGGGAGTTGCAGTTTCATCACAGAGGCAGACAATGTTACTTTATACTGCACAGGACTACAGGAAAAGGATGCCTTGCAAGGAGAAGGGAGAGGAGAGCCATGTGTGCCTTTGCTGAGGACATGTGTGCGCTGGTCGGCAGCCCCTACTGTTGAAGTACACTGACACTGTTTCCAGAACAGCAGAGGTTGCTGGGACAACGGCTATCTAGAGCAGCTGCAGTCAGCAGCAACTGTGATCATTGGTACTAATCACCCGCGACGGCAGTTACCAACAGCAACGACATCTCCCACCGCAGAGAGAGGTAAGATTGATGGAAATCGCAGATGAGGCGTGTGACCATTCCAGGTGAGGCACCTCAGAGATTGTGCAGCACCGACAATTGACAACAGGAAAAAACTAGCCAGAGAGACAGAGCCCCATTCATCATCCCTTCAAGGAGTTAACCCTTGGAGACTGTTCTTCTTGGATGTGGTGAGCAACTGCTAACCAGTGACATGTCAGTCCTTAAGAGCGCTCCACCGATTCACTAACACAGGCCTGTGCCATAGACTCACACAGTGTTACAACCCTACAGTATACAAGTGAATTTAGGACTGACCCTAAAGAGATGTCAGTTTAGCTGGGGACATATTGCTGCTGTAGTTGCAGGGGGTTAATTCTGATCTATAGCTATACCGGTATATACATGAATATTGTGTTTATGATGTTATTGTGCCAATTCTAGAAGGTTTGTGTATTCAGTGCATTTAACTACTATTTTCCAAGTTAATTTGCAGTCTATTTGCAGAGTTTTACCTGTCTTATTAAACCTGTTATAAAACTTCCTACAAGGTATACTGGTGTAATGTGGATCCAATATATATATGGTTCATCACTGAAGTAAGGACAAAAGTGCCCATTAATTCCAGCGGCTCCTTTGGGGGTGAGCGCTACACCCGTTATTTCCTAATGTACTTACTTGTTCTTTGTTGGCATACCATTTTTGTCCATATCTCTGTATTTCTTACATTGGAAAAACTAATAAAAATCTATTGAAAGAGAAAATAGTGAAATGATGACTGTAGAATGCTTACAGTAATGCAATATTGCTGCCCAACATATTGCAAACGTGTATATTATATTGGGCATAAGGGTTAACTTATTAGATATATAATTGATTTATATTACCGTACTTTAAATGGGGAATTATATACACTGGTCATAATGAAGACATGAATTACATGGTATCTGTAAACAAAATACAAAAAAGAGTAAATGGATTGGGCTATAAGCTGTGAGTGGGGACTATCCTTGAAAAAGGAGGATAATTGGTATTCTTACTTTGACTAAACAAGTGTAGAGTCTGTCAGCAGCTGACTGGAGCAGAGTGTACCTAAATTTGATAAAAGGCACCATAGTCTGTCCAAAGGGAATGAAAAGGGATGGTGACCAGTCTTGATAGAGTAACTGGGTGCAGGGCGTGCATTTTCATAAACAGGCTTTGGGTATTAAGTGACAAACAAATGTGAGATTTTGGAAGATGGGAGGTGGGGACAATGGGGTTAGTTTACTAAAGGCAAATAGACTGTGCACTTTGCAAAGTGCAGTTGTATTCTACAAGTGCAGTTGCTCCAGAGCTTGGTAAATAAGGTAAAGCTCTATTTTGCAGAGAGAAACCCAATCACATGAAAAGAAAATAAAAAAAAACAGCATTTTTGCTTGCGCATGTTTGGATGATGGAAGTCAGCAGAGTTTCTGCTCATTTACTAAGCTCTGGAGCAATTGCACTTGTCTATTTGCCTTTAGTAAATGAACCGCACCGTGTATTTGATTATAAAATGAGTGATAGGTGGTAAAAGTAGTAGAAGAAAACAATGCGATTGGCTTCACACTGAAGACCAGAGGCTGATTAAGGATCATGACTGTGTGAAGAAACATACTGTATATTTCTATATCCAGTTGCCGATTGCACACTGTACATATACTGTGACAGTGCGGGTCAGCTGTGCAGAATCACGTATATACCTGTATAAGTTATTCTGCATTTCTGGGTATGGGGCGCGCATGATCACCGGGTACCAGCCAGTGAAGGACCGCTGGCACTTGGTGATTGACTCTGAGCCCCACAGAACACAGCTCTGTGTGTATAAACAGCACAGAGCCGTGTTCAACGTGTTCAATAGTTTTTATTCCCTGCTAAGCAGGGAATGAAAACAACTAGATCCCCAGTAAAAGCAGCACACAGTATACACACAAACACTTGTTAGGCACATATTTAACCCTTCAATTGCCCTAAATGTTAACCCCCTTTCCTGTCCAGTGTCATTAGTACAATGACAATGCATATTATTATCACTGATCACTATATTAGTGTCACTGGTGACGTCAGTGGCAGTTAGTTCAGAAGAAGTGTCAGATTGCCCGCCGTTCCGCTATAAGTCGCTGATCACTGCTATTACTGGTATAAGAGCAAATAAATAAAAATTTCAGTGTATACTGTATCCCATGGTTTGTAGAGGCTATAATGCTCATGCAAACTGATCGATAGGCACTTATTAGTTTTTTTTTTTTTCTACCAAAGACATGCAGCGGAATACACTTTGGCCAAAACTTATTAAGAGATTTTATTTTTTTAAATATTTTATGGGATATGCTTTGTAGCAGAGAGTAAAAATATTTTTTTTTAATTGTCGGTCTTTTTTCATTTATAGCGCAAACAAATAAAAACCCACCGGAGATCAAATACCACCAAAAGAAAGCTCTATTTCTGGGGGAAAAAAAATGAATTACATTTGTGTACAGCATTGCATGGCTGCGCAATTACCAGTTAAAGTAGTGCAATGCAGTATTTAAAAAAAGAGCCTGGTCATGAAGGGGGGTAAATCTTCCAGGGGGGTCAAGTGGTTATACATATTTTTATATACAGTTTTATATTCATATATTTTTTTTTGTGTTTTAAAACTCTGATGAACTAGGTGGTTTTGAGGCTCTCTAAACACATTTCCACCATCCCTTATCTTAATTCCTGTTGGAATAAATTTTTACCTGAACAATTCATTCTTGGTGTGATACATTAATCACATCCTACCCAAAAACCCAGGAATGTTTGATTGCTATTGCCCGAAGCCTGGGACATGTAGTTCCGGGCGCCGGGCAGGTCGTTTTTTTCCTCCTTTAGCCCTGCTGTGGGCAAGCAGCAGGGCTCACCTGTCAGGTGAAGCAATCAGCGGCAGCGCTGCCGCCGATTGCTTTCAAACAGTGCCGGCCTCTCCGCGCCCTGGGCGTGAGGTTTCCCCGGCTCCGCTTGGCCACCTGCGGGCCTGGCTTGCCGTCGGCTAGAGAGGAGGGAGAAGAGCGGACAAGTCTGCTCCTCTGCTTGTGCTGACCCAGAAGTGACATTACGATGTCCCTTCTGGGTCCCAGTTGAGAGATTAATGCTATCCCCGGGAATTAATGTAATATGGTGCAGATGTGCACCACATTACATTCAGTGGAGCAGAGGGGAGACATGCAGGGTCTTTTAGAACTTGGATGTCTCAAAGAGAATCTGTCACCAAAAATTATCACATAGGGGGCTTTGTAAAAAATTAAAGTTACACCCAAGCACATACCATTCCCCCCCCCCAAAAAAAAAAATTGAGGCCCCCACCCCAACATATACGCATGTACAAATGTAAAAGCTCACGCTGGTGTGCCTACGCATGAAACCGTCAATTGCGATACACATGTCACATATCGCCGTGCATGACAGAATGAGAACAAAAATTCTAGCACCAGACCTCCTCCGTGCACTATACTGGTGACCTATAAGGAGCTTTCAAAGTGTCGATCTATATAAAATATAGGGTACTGAAGTTCGTCACCATTTCACGAGCGCGCACAAACTTAAGGTTTTACATGTTGGATATCTATTTACTCGCTGCAACCTAATCTTTTACATTTTACAAAAAAATAGGGTAATTTATTGCTTTTTTGCACCCTAAAACGAACTTACTTGTATTTC